TAAGAAACAAGGTTGTTTTACTGTATGTTGTAATGATAGTTGTGTATAAGTAGCGTGGGTCGAAAGTGAATGTATTCATTAGCGAGAAATTGTAGTATGAGAGGGCTAATAGCGGAAGATTGCGTACCTCAAGACCGACATTGATGGAGAAGTACTCGAGTACTCTACTACCAATTAATGACCCGGCTGAATTTCTCTTCCACCAATGATGCTATAAAACATAAATTAACGTTTAATATTTGTTGACCCTATACATCCTGACATATCATAGAATAATATGGGCTACTCAGAGACCTCCTTGGACCAAAATCAACACTGTGACTTTCAACTAATTAATCTTTATGTAAGGTATTGGCTGAGATAAAAAAGTCAGTGTCACGAGCGGGATTCGAACCCACGACACTTGAGCTATTATGACTTCGATCCACTTGGACACCAACTTCTCATCTCAACCCCATTTTACGAATTTTCACCCCTTTTTGCCTTTTCTTTAATTGAAAGAAGTTGGTCAAACTGACCACGAAATCTATTGAATCGATCCACTCGGTCACGATAGCTCAAGTGGTAGAGCAGCGGCGTATCTAGCCGAAGATCGTGGGTTCTAATCCCGGTCGTGCCATTGATTTTTTTATCTCAACTTAAAACCATAATTTACTGACTACTCAAGAACTGACTAACTAGAATGACGAATTTCTCGGAGAGAAAAACGGAGAATCGATGATGAATTGTCTTTGTTCAGAATCCGTTACTTAAGTAGTAATCAAGGTGTACTCATTTCAAAACACATTTATTAACTGCTTAAAATCTTCAAAGAAGTAATCTAATCCGAAAGCCACACTCTACCTCAACATAGCTTACTCACTCCATAATATCTTTTTTTTAATTTTTTTTTTTAAATTACAATCTGCAATTATTATTTACAACATGTAATTTGCGGATACATGAACAACTATATATATGTACAACTATTTACATTGAGGGGAGAAAATAGTCAGTGCTATCCTCCCTCTTCACTTTTTTTTCTTTTTTTTTTCAGTTCACTCGGAAAGGAGGTCGCGGGGCCATTTCCTCTTAAGACGCCTTATGGGGTTGGAGGGATGGGTTCTATCGGACAGGGCTTGAGCAAGACTATTTGGATGGTGGGAAAGTTTTTTGTTGAAAATTGGTAAATTTTTGGGGAATAAATTTTTGGATATAAGGAATTTGAAGGTCGTTGTGGAGGGTAGTATTTGAGACATAATAAGGAGCATTTACAATGGATCTGAGGACTTTAGATTGAAAGGATTGGAGGCGTTGGATATTGGAAGGTTTAGCGGTTCCCCACAGTTCTATCCCGTACGTCCAAATCGGTTGTAGTAATGTTTTGTAAATTGTAAGTTTGGTTTTTGTCGATAGTTTAGACTGTCGTCCTATGAGTCTGTGCAATAGACCATACCGTCTGTTTAGGTTTTGTCGTGTCAGTCGTGTATGTTGATTCCACGTTAGTCGTGAATCTAGGTGGAACCCAAGGTAGCGAACGCAGTCGGATTTATTGTAGTATATAGTGATAGGAGGTTTGCTTCGGAGTGTAAATGTGACATGGACGCTCTTGCTTTCGTTTATCTTCATTTTCCATTGTCTATATCAATCTGCTATGCATGAGATATGTCCTGCAGATCTTCCGAAGCAACCGCAGGATCGGAATTGGAGGATAGTACGGCTGTATCATCGGCGAAGGATGCAAGTAGGGTAGTAGGTTTAGTGGGAATATCTGCAGTATAAAGGATGAAGAGGATTGGTCCGAGCACACTGCCCTGCGGTACTCCCGCGGCCAGAGAGCAGTATTCGGAGTAATCTGATCCTTGTCAGACCCGAAAGAACCGCTCTGTTAGATAAGAGCGGAGGATTTGGTAAAGAGTATTTGGAAGGACACGCTTTAGTTTGTACAGGAGTCCCCTGTGCCACACGCGGTCAAACGCTTGTGCCGCATCAAGGAAAGCTCCCATACAATATTCTTTGCGCTCGAGGGAGGAGGATATACGGTCAACAACGCGAAACACTTGCTGGACTGTGGAATGGTGGGGGCGGAAGCCAAACTGATGATCGGGGAGGAGGTTAGACTTTAATTGTGGCAATAGCCCTTTTAAGGAGAATTTTTTCAAATACTTTGGACATAATATCTAAAAACGATCTACCCTCTCGTCTCCATTTTTGCAACCAATAAATGTCGCATTTGAAATCCAACGTCGAACTCATCACTGGGCACAGACTAGTGACTAACTTTAAACTTTAGGTGGCTCGTGACCAAATGCGAAGTGAATTCAAATCAACTGCTGACAGTAGCACCCAGCTTTTTCTAACCTCCCCAGAGGGCACATATTGGGCTTATTTCCCCGTTACTACTACTGAGCTACTACCCTCTGGCTTCACCATTTTACATTTGTTGACCATTTTTTGAGGGGATTCTCGGGCGCCCCAGGAACCTTTCTGATTTTGTTATTTGTGTTTTTGCTGTTTTTCGGTGTAAACCTCTTACAGCGTTTGCTTTTATTTTATTTTTTTATTTATCACATTATTTGTTTTAATAAATTTCTAAATTAATATTTTTTTCAACCACAACAGGATCCCTTACACAGATCTTTGGCCACAATTAATTACCTAATTGTGTTGCCCGGGATGGACCGCTGGGCGGCGATCTGGTTTTACAGGGATTTTTTTTTCTCTGAGAGGTTTTATAACAATTTTTAAAGAGAATTTTTGGCGGTTAGTACATTTTTAAACAATATAAATAGTCTATTTTGACTAGTAATAAAAACATGAGCACAATGAAACAATTAAATAAAAAGATTGTTAAACAGATCTTACTAGCTTAAATAAACCCGTTAGACTATATACCTTTATAAATCTAAACAAACATTTCTTATAAATTATTTAAATATATACATTATAATTTAGACTAGATATTTCATATAAGTAATTCAATTGTATACACATATAAACATGACAATAATGAAAACACAATAAATAACTTAATTTAACAAAACTTAAATAACCTTAACGGACTATATACATTTATAACTTTAAATATAACTTCTCAAATATATAATTTAACTATGTACATATATATAACATAAAAAACAAGACATTTAATTTAAATAATTCGATTATATATTTATACAGTTATTAATAAAATGACTATATTGACTAGGGAACTAATATAGTGATCATAAAAACATATGAATAACAAACTTAACTACTTAATACTACCAGTTTAAATACATGATTAAACCATATACATTTATTTTTAAACTACCATATTAAATAAATAATTTAACTATATACATTTATAATTTACACTATCCGTTCACTAAGAGTAATTAAATTTGTACATTGAAGTTCTTTATTTACATTCATAAAATTAAAAGCCCTTGTGTGAATTTTTTATTATCGATGATTTTCATTTTGATTTTGTGAACTGTGTTTAGTTTTTTTTTTCATAGGCATACTTTATAAACTCTTTATAATTGTGTTTGTTCTTTGTCAGTTCTACCAATTTACTTTCATCATCTATTTTTGTTTTTATTTCCATTTCTAGTAATCTTCTTTTATGGTTATAAATTTCGCATTTCGTCACAATATGTTCCGCACTTTCTATTTCACCACATTCGCATAAATTGGTGTTTTTTAACTTGTAATTATATAAATATTTATTAAATTCTCCATGCCCTGTTAAAAACTGGGTAGTAATACAATTTGATCGAATAAAATTCCAGGTTTTGATTATTGATTTAATGCATGGCAAGAATTTATAAGTAGTTCGCCCTTTTATTCTTGCACTCCATCTTCCTTGCCATTTTGTTATAATTTCGTTTTCTAATTCTTTAATTTTTACACTATAATTATTGCATGTTGTTTTCCTTAATTTGTCAATCTCTATTCTTTTAAGGAGTTCTAAGTCAATGGTATCTGCCCTGTTATAACTTGAAGTGCGTCTGTTGACGTAGTTCGATACCCTTTACATAGCCATTTTAGTGCACCTCTTTGTATGGTTAATAATTTATTGTGTTTATATACATTTTACATTTGTTGACCATTTTTCGAGGGGATTCTCGGGCCCCCCAGGAACCGAAATAAGTTGGCTTTTACCAATCTTCTTTCTAATTTTTTAATACAATTCAATACAATAATATTATACAATTAATAATTAAATTCACTAATTTCGTGGTCCCCTTGACCAATTAATATGTTACAATTAATTAAGGTTTGTAGTCGATAAAAGAATCAATGGCACGAGCGGGATTCGAACCCACGATCTTTGGCTTGATACGCCGCTGCTGTACCACCTGAGCTATCGATCCAATCGGACACCAACTTCCCATCTCAACCGCACCTTTTGAATTTTACCTCTTTTTTGCCATTTTTCAAATGCAAAAGGTGCGGTTGATATGGGCAGTTGGTGACCGAATGGATCGAGGTCACGATAGCTCAGGTGGTAGAGCAGCGGCGTATCAAGCCGAAGATCGTGGGTTCGAATCCCGCTCGTGCCATTGACTTTTTTATCTTAACTAAATACCTTAATTAATTGTAACAATTAATAATAGTTACACAACTAAACAGTCTTCTCAAAACATATACTTTCACTTTTATGCTTCGGTTGCTGCACGAATTTAGTTTGCATGAATTTGTATGCGGTTTGTTATGCCTTTGGTCAAAATCATCACATCATCGGGAAATTGTACAATTTTGTTGTTACAACAATAAATAAATTTAACAGTCTCATTCGGGCACATGAAACCATTTTTTGCTTACATTAAATGTGGAAATAATTAAAACATTTATAATCATCTGTTCCATAGCCCTCTTGAAATAAACCCAAAAATCTTTTAAAAAAATATATTTAAAACGTCAAAAGAATTAACGTACTCATAAAATAAATATGAAAGGAAAAAGTGAGATTTATTTTTTTAAACAGTTTTATTCAAAATAAGTATAAAAATTAATACAAACAATGTAACCGTGAACACGATTTTGTTTTGACACGATCACCTGTCATTTATTCAAGAAATTAGATTCGGCATGTTAGTCTAGGTTCAAGTTCGAAATTTTTTTCTAGTAATTCCAAATTTCTAAATTTCCAGTTAAGTTGAAAATTCAGGGTATTAGAGGTTCACCAAGCAAACTTCAATCAAATTCAAGACAATGGTAATATTATTTTACTGTTTAATTTTTTTAACGATCCGTAACGGATGGAATATTGTAGCTTATCATAGTTTTCGGCACTAATGGAATATAGACCTAGATATCTAATTTTTCAAATGCAGTTATAAAAAGTTTCGGATAACTTTCGAAAAATCGAAGTAATCTTACAATATGCAGTTTAAAACACAAAGTTCATCATAAAAAAATTGACTCCATTCACGTAAAATAATTCTAAATGGCAAAATTATAAGTTATCCAAATGAAAGAAAATTATACGTTTCAGGGTATAGTTTTTTGATAGGACTTTTTGGGCAGGCTTGACCTGATTCAAAATATTTTTAATGTTTAAATTCAATCTACATGAAGCCATATTCCTCCAAATTGTTATCCATTAAAGCTATTAAAATCCTGATAAAATGGTTCTATTCGTAAAAACCTGACGAAGGCACTGCCAAGAAGAGGAGGGTGGGTTCACCGTTTTTAATGAACTTTTTTCTAATAATAACTGACAGGTTTCGAAATTGTCAATATGGATTGTATTATATATCTTAATTTTTGAACAATTAATTCGATTATCTGAGGAAGGGGTGATATTCTTAAAAACTCGACGAAGGCCAGTCCAGGAGGAGGCTAGGTAAATGGGATCACCCATTTTAACGAACCTTGTTACTCCTAATACCAGGTCAAAAATTATTTGACACGTGACAAACCCTGGGGGCGAAAAGGAAATAAATAAAAACCAAATTAGTTCTATATAATAAATAAAAATAAAACTACCCTCCGAGTAAAGTATGACAATTTTATAAAAGATTCGGATTTTTAAGCACTTCTTAAAGCCCGTAAAAACGATTTTTCGTAGCAATACAAAGTGATATTTTTTTAAACTGAATCGCTGGAATATTTTTTTAATACACTTCTCGCCAATACCCTGTGTTTTACTTAAAACATTGTAACCCCAATTTATTTAATCCAAATCTCATGGTAGTACAAAAAGGTTGGAAAGTTGAATATCTTTTCTTTCCACCTATGCACAAAAAATGTAGATTTTATGCCATTTTAAGTGAGAAAAACAGAATTAAATAAACAAAAAATTGAATTTTTTTTTTAAATAACAGGTTTAAATTCTATTATTGAGGTCAAACTTATGCCATTACCTGTCACTTTTCAGACTTTATACTCTTCTAATGTTTCCTGCGGATCAGTGAGGTCATTTCAAAATTATCACCTTTTTTGTGTCCGGAAAAGAATAGAGTCAATATTTGAAAAACAAAAATTGTAAAAATAACAGAATATTTTTTATTTTCAAAAAATAAAAATAAAATTGTTTTCAATTAATTAAGGTTTTAGTTGAGATAAAATAGTCAGTGACGCGAGCGGGATTCGAACCCACGACCCTCGGCTAGATAAGCCGGTGCTCTACACTTGAGCTCTCGTGACTTCGATCCACTCGGACACGACATTGAAAAATGGCAAAAAAGGAGGGAAAATTCAAAAGGTGGGGTTGAGTTAGTGTCCGAGTGGATCGAAGTCTCGATAGGTCAAGTGGTGAAGCGGCGTATCTAGCCGAGGGTCATGGGTTCGAATCCCGCTCGCGTCACTGACTTTTTTATCCCAACTAAAACCTTAATTAGGGGGACCGCGGTAGCCGAGTGGTTAGCATGAGAGACTCTCACGCCGCGGTCGTGGGTTCGATTCCCACCGTCGCCTCTGGCCCTTTTTTCACAATAACCCCCCCCCCACCAAATTTGAACACACATATACGAATTGTCACATGGCTAATATGCATAATTCATAACGCCGAAAAAAAACAACAAAAAAAACACCTTAATTAATTGAAAGACAGATCAAGCGGACCACGAAAACAGTGAATTTAATAAATTGTATTCAAACCTTACTTGGGGTGGGAAAAATGACCCAACATTGTTTCTTGCTTAATTAAAAAAAATCTATTTTGCTACTTCTGTCGACTATTGTCGGAATAATATAATCAAAAGTTTTATTTTAATCGGTGAACCTATGAATGTAGCGTCCTACTCTTTTCTCACTGACTGGCCTCATCCTTGATCAACTTTTAATGTAAATAATTAATGGCCACAGAGAGCTTTAGTGAAGGTAGACTTCATATTTACTTATTAAATTCACTAGTTTTCATGGTCCGGTTGACCAATTAATATCTGTTAACTAATTAAGGTTTTCAGTTGAGATAAAAAAGTCAATGGCACGAGCGGGATTCGAACCCACGATCTTCGGCTTGATACGCCGCTGCTCAATTGGTCGAATTGGTCAAGCGGACCACGAAACTAGTGAATTTAATATAAAAATCGTAGTTTTCAATGATTATTATTTTTGTTTATAAAAATGCTATTCAGTTGCAATTTCTGTTTACAAAGAATATGCACGTCAGTATTATTTGGTAGAATCTTGGATGGTTTTTATTAGGATTAAGCCTGGTCGGATTTTCAGGTGAAGGTTAGGGATCGGCTATCCGATCGCCCCCATTCCCCAAAAATACATATTAATTTGATCTGGCTAATGTCTAAAACCATTAGGCAATTAATAAATTTTTTTAAGACCTTGCGCATCACTTAGTGACCTGTTTTTCCATAATTTTTTGGAGTCGTGAGGAGCGGTCAAGAAAATCTCCATTATTTTCTTAAGATGTAAGCTTAAGGCTTTTTACCTTCAGCCTCAACTCTCAAAGGTAGAAATCATAGGCGGCACAGGCCATTGCGCCGCTGTAGGACATGTTCCGCTGTTCTTTCTCCTTCCTGGCAATATCCGACTTCTTCAGGTCTGACTAGCTTTCAGAGTCTGCACTCTCCATGTCTACCTTTCATGTCCTAACACGTCCACGATTTAATAGTTCTGCCGTTACATTCAGAGATAGTCCTTTATTAGACTATTTTTGATTACCATTGAACCACGACTTATTCCCATTGGCTGAAGGTCCGACGTTTTTAGCATTTTGGAATTACCAAAAATGGTTCTGTCCGCATGATGTCCTGATTGAACTTACCTTGACAAGTTTATTAGCCTTTTTGCTGACCCTTTGCCCTGTATGTTCTAGGACCCAAACAAGAATAATTTTGTTATCATGCCCAGTGTCTCATAAGGCATGTAGTGCTACCTGGTTTTTCAAATAAATTGCTATTTGACTGTTGGTTATTTCCAGGTTTTTAAAATAACCCTGGAACAGTGTACAATAGTCATAGGTCACCATATGAAATACAGTGGTATTTTGCCTACGTTTAAATTAATTCTAGTCCGTGGATAATAGAATTGCTACATACTAGCTTACAGACTTTTACCCAGTCTAAGAGCCATGTGTATACAATATATTGTCGGCTGTTTCTCCTAGTCTCTATCGAATATTTTTATTTTAAATTTCTTATAAAATAGCCATTTTGGGGCCATGGCGATGATCCCAGAACCTCGTCCGCCTGAAGTACATCCCGAAGCTTTAACCGTAGATGTAGATGTAGATACCAAAAAAAGAAATCCCCCACCCTAGTGTCGGCCTTCCTACAGTCCGTTCCTTTCACCTACTCCCTTTTTAAAAACCCTGTGGACCCATGTGTCAGATGGAGTACGAGGTACTAATTAACAATTTCGACACAACATTTTTTAAAGATTATTCCCAGCTCGACACGCATATTGTTCAAAAAGAATTCCTAGCCGATTTTAACAAGATATATCCGGAAGATGTGTACGTATTTACTGACGGCTCTTCCATCGATGGCAAAACAGGTTATGCCATTTTTGACCCTAAACATCAATACAAGGAACAACGTTCGCTTCCAACTTCAATGTCTGTTTATACAGCAGAACTAATTCCGATAGATAGGGCTCTCGATTACATACGAAAATTGGTTGATTCTAAATTTTGTATCCTCACAGACTGTCGAAGCATGTAGAAAGGATAAATAACATTACCCCAGAATATAAATGCAGAAACTATATCTTTGCCCAAATCTGTAGGAAAATGCTTGAGACAAAAATCATGGGAAAAAGGGTGGCATTGTGTTTGGTGAAAGGGAATTCAGGCTTATGGCAAAATGGAACGGTGGACGCACTTGCAAAGGAGGCTGCAACATCTGGTCCAACCCTTGACATTAAAATTCCTAAAGATGACAGTAAAAACTTTTTGGAAAATTTTGTAGAAATCTGTGACCAGAAAAATACAACGCATCAAATGCTGGCATTTATTACAGGTCACTGTTCCCTGAGCTCAAGAAAAAAAAACCATGGTTTTCGGAAGGCGATAGCCCAGAAGGAATGTCAAATGAGTTCTATTCTACTATTTTTAGACTGAAGACAAATCCATGGCCTATGGGGTAGCTGCAAGAAGAGAATCGGTTTAGCATCGTCTCCGAACTGTCCCACTTGCGCTTGCCTTTCAAATCCTTCCCATATAATTTTTGAATGTCCAGAATATGAAAATGAATGAGACAAAACCAAAAAATCTGAGCAAAGTCCCAAACATTTCCAAACCAATAAGAATCTGTCCTAATAAGCAATAATCCATCAGCTTTCAACATAATCTATGGATTTCTAAAGTCGATAAACGTTTCTTTTTGATCCTGGTCCTGGTCGGCCGATCCCGTAAAATGAAAATAGAAAACTTCATGGGTAATATGCCAGCGTAAACCCCCCCCACCAAAAAAAAATATATATATATAGTTTCGGGGTATAGTATACTGCGCCAATTAAATTTATCACCCGTGCTCTGCCTAAAGCACATCAGTGAGTTCTATTTCATCAAGAAACTTGATTAATAGGCCCGGTTTCAATGGATGAAACTCTTCTATGGTCATTTTCATGCTAGTGTAGCTCTGCAGTTTGTTAGTAAATATGTTGGTGTCTCTTCTGCCTCTTTGCAGAATTTGCATGTGCCATCTTGGATTCTTCCAATTTTCTTTAAGTGTCCATTTAATCCGCAGTGTCCTGTTAGGAATCCTGTCAGGATTCGCAGTCTGTTCCTGCTTCCTTTGACACATTCTGTGATTTCTTTCCTACCAAAGTTGGTTAGAAGATTTTTGGATTGTTTATGTCCAATGAGTGAATTCCATTGTTCCTTTATTTTCTTTTTGTCCTTCTGTCTGAGATATTCGTAAATAGTGTGGGTTCCTATGCCACAGAATGGTTCAGGTCCTATCAGCGGTGTAACAGCCCCTTTTCTTGCAAGGGTGTCCGCTTTCTCGTTGCCTTTTACTCCCATGTGTCCTGGAACCCATCTGACTTTATTCTGCATACCTAATAGGTTTAATTTGGTTTTGCAGTTCAGCACCATCTTTGAACTATTGATATTTGAGCTTAGTGCTTTAATGACTGCTTGGCTATCTGACATGATAGCTATATTCTTGTTTTTGTACCCTTTACTTAGGTTGAGTTGGGTACATCTTTGGATTGCATGAATCTCAGCTTGGAAGATACTGGTGTGTTTTCCCATGGGTTCTGAGTATTTGGTTCCAGGTCCAAATACTCCTGCCCCTCCTTCTTGTGTTCTAGAACCATCAGTGTACCAAAGGATGGTGCCATTTTTGAAAGAGTTGTTTCCCTCTCGTTCCCATTCTTTTTTGGTACCCAGGTTTATTTGGAAATTTTGGTTAAATTCAAACATCCTGTTCATTTCGTCTCTTGGAGCCATGAGTATTGGATCGTCTTTAAGCTTTAACCGTATTATTTTATGCGGGTAGGCTATTGGATTGAATTAAAATTTAGATAACTAGTATTATTACGTTAAGAAGTTTTATCAATTTTAAATGATTTGTTACAGAGGGAAGTTATCTCAATTCATATCGGCCAAGCTGGTGTACAACTGGGCTCCAACTGCTGGGAGCTTTACTGCTTAGAGCATTGTTTAGATCCGAGCGGTAACATCTCAGAAAATGACCGCAGGTGCTTCACCGAAGTGCCCGCATGCATGGTCGACGAAGCCGGCGACACGAACGAAATCAGGAAGCCCATGAAAAACCTGCTTCTCACCGCGGAGCAGGACAAAATCATGGGCGACGGCTTCAGCTCGTTTTTCATGGAGACCTCCAGTGGATCTTTCTCGCCCAGGTCGATTTTCATCGACTTGGAACCAACTGTCATAGGTAATTATTAATAAAAATTGTTATCAGACAATTTTAATTTAGCGGGTAAAAATTTTTTCAGACGAGGTGAGATCCGGAAAGTACAAAAAGCTTTTCACTCCAAATTATTTAGTGAGCGGAAACGAAGATGCGGCTAACAACTATGCCCGGGGTTTCTACACCACGGGAAAAATGATACTGGATCGCGTTATCGACCCAATCATTAAAATGGCCGAGGCGAGCGATAAACTACAGGGATTCATGCTTTTCCACTCCTTCGGAGGTGGGACCGGGTCGGGTTTCCATAGCCTGCTCTCCCAGGAGCTCACTCAGGAGTATTACAAGAAAAGCAAACTTGAAATCGCCGTTTTTCCGTCACCAGCAGTAAGTCTGACTTGTGCCTTTAACTCTCAGATATTCTTAAGTTAGTATAAACAATGAACTAACCAGTACTTGAAATTAAATTTAGTACAAAATTTTAAAGTTTAATCGTACTCTTAAATTTCTCGAAAACAATTGAATTAAAAATTGACGATAAAGAAGAAAAAAATAAAAAAAACATACAACAAGATTATCCTACCGTGCACCTTAACGCCTACTTATACATAATCAGTCACATTAAATGATAACATAAATTTTTTTCATCTATCAGGTTGCGTGGTCCAATTGACCAAATAAATTCTTTTCAATTAGTTAATTTTTAATTAAGGTTTTGTTTGATAAAAAAATCAGTGTCACGAGCGGGAATCGAACCCACGACCTTCGGCTAAATCTGCCGCTGCCCTACCACTTGAGCTATCGTGACTTCGATCATGACACTGACTTTTTTATCTCACGAATAAATAAAAATGGCAAAATGGAGGGAAAATTCAAAAGGTGGAAGTTGGTGTCTGAGTGGATTGAAGTTACGATAGCTCAAGTGATAGAGCAGTGGTGTATTTAGCCGAAGGTTGTGGGTTCGAATCCCGCTCGTGACACTGTCTTTTTTATCTCAACCAAAACCTTAATTAAAGATTAACTAATTGAAAAAAAATTTGTTTTGGTTATCATTCTTAAGCCATTTGACTCATGAAATGATAAGTCCAATAATTAAAAACATATAAATCTTATATGCGATCGACTAGTCTTTACTTACTCTATTTTAACATACTCTATAGTCCAATATATTTAGTGGTATATTGACCAAATTACTCCTTTTAATGAATTATTCTTTTTATGTAAGGTTTTGGCAGAAAAGAAAAAGCTAGTGCCACTTAGGTCGTGGGTTCGAATCCCGCTCGTGGTACTAACTTTTTCATTCAACCAAAACCTTACATAAAAAGACTCTATAATACTGTCGTGGATTAGGGTTGTGGCCAAAATAGCGCTTTTGTACCAACGCTGAACTTTCGTCGATATATTTGGTCATCTCCAGGTCTACAGAAAAAAATTTAATTTTACATCTTTATAGACTTATATTTACTTGACAACTTACATGTACGTAGTAAAATTTAACAACGTTTACGCATGTTAACTTACAAAAACCCCCATCTTCACTACTATTTTAATAGTAGTATATATATTAACATGTAAGAAATAAAACAAACAGCGAGGGGCTTAAGATGCATCCTTGTTTAACTCCGGAAGATGTTGAAAATCATTCCAAAAGGAAAGGTAGATATATATATATNATATACAATCTGGAATGGTGTAAACCTTTCGGAATGATTTTCAAGATCTACCGGAGTTAAACAAGGATGCATCTTAAGACCCTCGCTGTTTGCTTTATTTATGGATGATCTATCGGAGTGTTTAGGAGGTGGAGTTAGAATCGGAAACAGGAAAATTAAACTGTTTATGTATGATGATGTTGTGGTATTGTTGGCAGAATCTGCTTTGGTGTTATAAAAATTGTTAGATGTTTTAGAAACGTATGTGGCTAATGGAAAAAATTTAATACCCAAAATCTAAATTATCATGTTTAAAAACAATACATGTAATTTACGACCAAACGAAACATGGAAATTTAAAATTTAAATTTTAGAAATATGTTACAATTAATTAAGGTTTTCCGTTGAGATAAAAAAGTCAATGGCACGAGAGGGATTCGAACCCACGTTCTTCGGCTAGATACGCCGCTGCTCTGCCACTTGAGCTGTCGTGACCTCGATCCACTCGGACACTAACTCCCCATCTCAACCCCACCATTCGAATTTTCCCTCCTTTTTGCCATTTTTTATCTCAACTATAAACATTGGAAGAATTCGTCAAGCGGACCACGAAAACTAGTGAATTTATTTTTTAAATTAAAAACAGAAATGATGAATTTAAAAGTCAATTTTAAAGTAAATACATCTTCACTGCATTTTATTATCCATTTAATATCATTTACAAACAAAGTCATATCGCGTAAATAATGCTTATTTCCTAAGTACAGTTTACACTTTTCTTATCTAATTAGCCTTTATTATTTAATTTAAATGGACTGATAAAATTAATAACATACCTCTAATAATTTTGTTGTTTTTATATAAAATATTTATATTTTTATTTATAGATGTCGACAGCGGTCGTTGAACCATACAACACAATTCTCACCACAAATACAACTTTGGATAATACGCAGTGCGTGTTTTTAGCGGACAACGAAGCGATGTACAATATCTGTCAGAATAGGCTTGATATTGACAGCCCTTCCTATCAGAATCTGAACAGGCTTCTGGCTCAGACTGTCAGCTCGATCACAGCCAGCCTACGCTTCAAAGGAACGCTGAACGCGGATTTCTCGGATTTCCAGACCAACCTGGTCCCCTTTCCGAAAATACACTTCCCCATCGTCAGCTACGCACCGATCGCGGGGGTGAAGTCCGCCAGCCACGAAAGTTCCAACATCCTCGACATCACGAACAAGTGCTTCGACATATCGAACCGCCTAGTCAGGTGCGACAGCGAGACCGGCCGCTACATCTCGTGCTGCCTGCTGTACCGCGGGGACGTAGCGCCGAAGGACGTGAACGCTGCAATTTCGCTGATAAAGTTGAAAAAAGCCGTCAAATTCGTCAAATGGTCACCGACCGGATTTAAGATCGGCATCAACAACCGGGCGCCTTGTGTCTTCCCAGACGGTGACATGGCGCCTTCGCATAAAGCGGTCTGCATGCTGTGCAACACGACCGCAATCAAAGAAGCATGGGCGAATCTTAACATAAAGTTCAATCTGATGCTGGAAAAGAAAGCGTTCATCCATTGGTACACAGGTGAAGGTATGCACGAACAAGAGTTTTTCGACGCTCAGGATAACATCCTCAGTCTTGAACAAGAGTACGAATCGATGCAAGATTAAAAGGTTTACAAGAAACAAGAAATATCCCATTAGCAAGTACTGCATGGCAAGATCTTCGAGAAAGGCAAGATATAAGCAAGTTAGAAGCCATGTTTGTATAACACAAGGATTCAAGATGTGTACTTGTCTAATGTATTGTAATTTCGACATTCGTCTCTCGTCTTTTCCACATTTTGACAAATATAAAACATTGAAAAGTCTGTATTTGTGTAGATAAATCCATAAGCGTTATTTCGCAATGATTCAAAAAGTTAAGAGTATGAAAAAATCATTGAAAGGAAGTAATTAATTTTTGTTATACAGGGCTTGACGACCAGCTGCCCATTGGGTGTCGCTGAGAAGGTGTTAACTGTTTCGAAATATTTTTTACAAACTACCAATTAAAACTTTATGGGATAATCTGTGATTCGAACCCAGAGCCTATAGCATGGCAAATACGATTCTGCTATCGACGCCCTCCTACATGATGATGAATTTGGATACTAAGAAGGATATCCTTAGGTCAGTGCAATCGACTAGGTCTTTTCCTACCGAGTACTAGATCATACGTTGCTCCATTTTTTCCATGGGTTTCTTTTGTATTCCAGGTGATTAAGCTCCTTTAAGCGGTTGCTTCGCATTCGGAAAAGATGGGTGGCGTTTCTTCTTCCTCATTTGCATAACCTACAAAGAGGGTTATCATTCGATGCTCCAATTTTTTCCATGGGTTTCCTTTGTATTCCAGGTGATTAAGTTCCATTGAGCGGTTGTTGCACTTTCGGAAAAGATTGGTGGCGTTTCTTTTTCCTCATTCCATAACCTACAAACAGGGTTATCATTCGATGCTCCAATTTTTCCCATGGGTTTCCTTCGTATTCCAGGTGATTAAGTTCCATTGAGCGGTTGGTTCGCTTTCGCAAAAGATGGGTGGCGTTTGTTTTCCTCATTGCATAACCTACAAACAGGGTTTTTTCCATGGGTTTCCTTTGTATTCCAGGTGATTAAGTTCCATTGAGCGGTTGTTGCACTTTCGGAAAAGATTGGTGGCGTTTCTTTTTCCTCGTTGCATAACCTACAAACGGGGTTATTGAATATACCCATGTTGTGCAGATGTTTTCTCAGATACCAGTTATATCATCCCTCTGAGTTTTGAGTATAACCCTGTATAATGTTGCCTTATTCAGTGAGTTTGCCAGTTTGGTGTGTAGTTATAATATAAGGTGTCTATACCACCTTTTGTCCTTTTTGAACCTTGTGATGGAGAATTCCACATTGGTCTTTGTTATCCCAAGAAAAGGTTCAAGGTCTATATACGGTCTTGCAGATCCCCCATTGGGCAGTTGTCAACCTTTACGTTTCCCAAAGTTCCGTTGTGTCCTAGTACTCAAGATATCATCACGATTTGGATATTTTAGATGCATTTACTAACTAATTTTCATGTGTATTTTTAAATGCTTCTCATTTAATAATAACTGCTTGGCTATTTTCTAAAGCACAAGCGTTGGTGGCATATATTTCAACTTGAAAAACCGAGGTGTACAAGCTAATAAGGTTGAATGCTCATTGTAAAGAAAACGTTTGATTATTTGTTTTAAAGGTTTAGCAGTGCTTCTAGTGTGTTGTGCCCATTGCCCTTGTGATCATTGCTCTTTTTTATAAGCATACGTAAAATTCATAGCTAATAAGTTTTGAAAACGCATCCGCAACAATGCAATGATGTGTGATGATAAGAGGGCATTCCCTACACCTTGTAATTGTGGCCCATCACAAAAATTCCAGAATTACAAACGAATAAGGAAACCTCCAAATACGATTCGTCGTGGATGGTTCAGCTGGAGACTTTAAGAAAGAGGGGAGTGATCGGAAGGATCATCAGTCGCCATTTTGCTCGGGCTTTGTTTAACTGTAATTAGTTGTAATAAGTAGAAAATATTTAAATTTTTGAGACAAAAGGATTTGGAAGGTGTTTGATCGACTATTTGAAAATATTCAATGTATAAATATTAAGAACGATTTTATTTTGAGTATTTAATTTGAAAGGGCTCAAAAAGTTACTTGAGATTTTACCTCACATCAAATTGTAAGTCATTTACTTTTTATTTGATATATTTAATTATTTTCGTGAAACATTGGAATCAAATTTTAATTTTATCAATAAATTAAACTTTTTTTGTGAAGTTATTTTATTTTTTTTCTCTCATTTTTATAAAAAAATGTACATCACAACCGTATTTGGTTTCTTAGCCCATTTCAATTGATTTGTTTCTTCTTTTAAAAAAGTAGTAGGTCATTGACAAAAGCTTGGACAGAATATACTTATTTGTATATTTTATTGGTTTTGGGGCCATGTGTACACCATATGATTGTACTTGATTTTATCTTTATTTCTTTTTCTTATTTGTAGTCTAGAAAATTGTTATGGTATGTTGAAAAGTATGATTCATTTTTAAAATTTAACACACCCTTTAATTTTTCAAAATTTAACATTAAAAAAATATAACAAGTAAAAAACGTACACCGGAAATTTGACTCGCAGCTTTCAATAAAATTATCCATAGCACTTTAAAAGCTCAAAATCTCATGGGACGAAATGCATTTTGTGTATAAATATTTATAATATAATAACACAGAAATTGAACGTTCATATGTACCCAAAACAACATTATAAACAGAAAGGCATAGGAGAAGAATAGAACAGAGTTTTAAGAAATCATTCATAAATTTTAAATTTTATGCGTGGGTGACTTTTAATCTAGCGAGCTTAGCTACAAAACCTTTAGAATAAGTTTTTAATAACACACTTCAAAAATTGAATAAATAAAGTCAATTTACGTTAGCCGAATCTTTGAAAGAAAACGCCCGAAAATAAGAAAGGGCCGCTACTCATAAACTTGCGAACTAAGTTTTATAATTTAGAGATTTCTTTCTAGATCTCACGAAGGTAGGATTTTATCTTAAATCACTTTAGCAAATCTTTCTGTACGGCGGTGAACAGCAAAGTTATAATAATCGTTTTTAAACCAATCTTTCTTTATGAATTCGAAAGTATCATTTGTTTGAATATTATCCGTTTTAATTATAACGTCCTGAGGTATTTTAACTGGTTTTTCAATTTATTAATTTTTTTTTGACTTCATTTATTTGTATCTACAACTGTACATGTATTATATACAACCAGCAGAGTGGATTTCAGATTATGTTGGCATTATGGGCGTTATAGAGAAAGCTACCAATTGGCAGCTGCTCTGGTTTAATGAAATGATATTAATCATTTAAGAGGTCTCTTATCCATATTCTTTTCAGACGTCAATTTACTATGAAAACGTCTGTAATATGTTTTGATGGATGAAAAAACTGTTGGGATTTGACGATCTCTGTGAAGTGTATTATTGTTTACATAAAAAGGGGCAGAAACAATTAGTCTTAAAATTTTGGATTGAAAACTTTGTAATCTTTGAATATTGGAATACTTCGCCGATCCACATACATCCAAATAGGTTTGAGTAGGTATGTGTCGAAAGTTTTGATTTTAATGGTAATTTTGATTGTCGGTTGAGAAGGCAATAAAGAATTTTAAATCGTTTGTTCAGTGTCTGTTTTTTTAATCGTGTGTGTGGATTCCAAGTTAGTCTTCTATCAAATGTAAGTCCTAAATAGTTAACTTTGTCGGATTGAGGAACAGGTTCATTGTATAAGTATATGCTAGGACAAGTCTCACGACGGAGTGTAAAGGTGATATGTTGTGACTTTGAGGGATTAAACTTTATTTTCCAAAGATTGCTCCATTTTTCAATTGTTGATATGTGGTTTTGTAACATGAGTGAAGCTTGTGTAGAAGAGAGATGGCTTGTTAATATGGCGGTGTCATCTGCGTATGTGGCGGTGAGTGTATTCTCATTTGTGGGCATATCAGAAGTAACAATTGTGTACAACAGCGGAGCGAGTATTAATCCTTGTGGCACACCTGCAAGCACTTCTTCCATCCCAGAAGTCTCCGTATCCTGGTTTACTGCGAAAAATCTCTCTTTAAGGTATGATTGTATAATAAGATAATTGGCCTGGGGTAAAAATAATTTTAATTTGTATAATAATACCTCATGCCATACTTTGTCGAAGGCCTGAGAAACATCTAGAAACACTCCAGTCGCGTACAGTTTCTGCTCGAACACGAAGTAATGAAATCAGTCTCTCTGTGAAGTTGATGAGTGGTGGAATGATGGGTTCGAAAGCCAAATTGATGGTCTGGTAAGATGTTGTTCCAAGTAGCAATAGAGATAATTCTTTTGTAAATTAATTTTTCGAATAATTTAGAAGGAACGGGTAACAAACTAATAGGACGATAAGACGATGGGGAGCTTAAATTTTTATGGGGCTTTGGGATCATTTTAATGTAAGAAAGTTTCCATTGTATGGGGAAGTGTGTAGTCCTCAAAATTGCGTTAAATAAAGAAGTCAAAAAGACGACTGCTTTTTTGGGAAGTTCTTGAAGAACTTCAGCTGTTATCAAATCATGACCAGGTGATTTTTTTGTAGGAAGCTGTCGTAATTTATTAATATAAAAACTTTTTTATGTGTATACCCGACATCTGTTTCAAGCATTTCAAGTAATTTGAGTGAATATTTTAAGCATTTGTACCACTTAACGGAACTCGCCTCAAAATCAAACCAGCAATTCATATGACATCCCGCACTGGACCGCTGCCCAGATCTGGCCACTTACTAGTTATTTTATTTATAAATATATATATATATATATATTTTTGCCTTATGATCTATGCATATTAACCATGGTGACGAATTCTTATATGTGCATTCATATTTGTGGGGGGGGGGTTATCGTGAAAAAAGGGCCAGAGGCGACGGTGGGAATCGAACCCACGTCTATGAGCCGAGAGTCTCTCACGCTTACCACTCGGCTACCGCGGTCCCCCACTTACTAGTTAAACAACTAATTTATCACCCTCAGTGAATCTGATTGGCTGATTGTAGGGGGAGTTCAAATAGCTCACAGTTATACAGATTTTATCCATGCATGATGTGGTGGTTCTTCTGGGTCACCACAGAGTCCAGCCTTGCCCTATAGAAGAAGACTGGGTAAAGGGTTGAACCTGTAGATAAACCTTACTCGCTAATCTCAAAGAGACATATTTTCCAGCCAATGATACTCTTCTTATATTCAGAGTAAGTACAGATTCAGACATATGGTTATTTGTAGGGGTGGTTAGGGATAGTTAGGATGACATAGCTCGTAGAGAATGTTTCGTTGGTTTATTTTGCAGCCTGTTTAGCTTTTCAAGGATGGTTTTGACAAAGCAAAGATAGAAGATGCTCCCATAGTCATTTATGAATAATTCTTGAAGATTGAAAGTTTTTTCACCTCAAAAAGGTTTATTATTGTATATATTAATTAAACAAATAAATGAAATTATTTATAATCAGATATAATAAAACTAGAGAAAATTTACAATATACTATTTTCTTCAGGTACGATTTTTCTCGCATGGGTTTTATAAAAAATCTTTTTACGGAGATACTATAAATTATTATATTCTGATTGTAGCTGTAAAACGTTTTCTCGGGCTAAATCGAATTCCTGTTCGCACATCCCCTCGGCAATGTACCAATGTAAAAATGCTTTTTTAGACAGGAGTAGTCTATATTTGACGTTCAGTTTCGCCCAGGCTTCTTGGATAGCCGTAGTGTTGTAGATCATGCAGAGGGACCTTTTCGTCGAATTCATTTCTAACCGTTTATCGTTTGAGCTGAGGGCGTTGATGCCGATTTTAAAGCCTGTCGGCGACCAGTCGACGAACCGGATGGTTTTCCTCTCTTTGATCTTCGATATGGCATCGTTGATGTCTTTGGGAGCGACGTCTCCTCGATACAAAAGACAGCACGAGATGTACATCCCGTTTTCCATTTGGCATTTCATCAATCGGTTCGAGTCTGCGAAACACTCTCTCGTTATGTCGGTCACGGCGTGGTTGACATAACTGCTACTGCTCGAAAGCGGGGCGTAGCTCATCATCGGAAAGTGGATCCTAGGAAAGGGGACGAGGTTGTTCTGAAAATCTGAGAAATCCGTGTTGAGGGAACCTTTGAAACGGATGCTCGCCGTTATCGAAACGACCGTCTGCGCTAAAATTCTATTTAGATGGCCGTAATTTGGGGAGGGTATGTCCAACTTTGAGTTGCAAATTCCGTGCAATGCTTCGTTATCGGCCAAAAACACACATTGGGACGAATCCAAAGTCGAGTTAGTCGTCAATACTGAATTATATGGCTCTACAATCCCTGTTGACATCTAGAACAACATAATCTGTATGAGATAACTTAATGTTTTTCCTGATAAAAACAGGGAAATATTTTGGACTCAAAGTGCGTGGACGCCGGAGACAAAGATTTAATCCCAAGTAAGCTTTTCAATAGCATTTCTGAGATGTCACGAACACTCTGGATTAATGTATGTTCTTGATGAACAAGCAAATTCAGTTGTTACTGCCAAGATTTCGACCTATTTTAAAGACATCATCAGAGCAATTTAAGTCGTTTACAGACCTTGCCGATGTTAGAACTGAGTCGATCTTCAAGGAAATTTGAGAACGCCTGTAAGAAAATTAAAAATGTCAATCTGTAGATTAAGATTGTTTATTCCTGATAATGAACTTAAAATAGGCGAAAAGCTTGGTAGTAACAAATGAAGTTTCGTCAAGACCTTGATCTAGAGCGTTCGTGAGTGAAAAAGTATTCGATACTTGTAATATTGAATTTCTGAGATGTGACACCACGCGCTTTGACTATTTTTTGAAGCTTTAAAATCTAATTTAATGTGGTACTTTTCTTGGTTTATAATAAAATATAAAACTCGATTTATTCGTTTCAACTACGAACTTATTCAGCTAACACAAATAATTGTAAATAATTTCTTTTTATACATTTCAGTAAAATTGTATTTATTAGAGTTAAAATATGCAACCTCAGTCTTGCATTGTTAAGTATTCTTGTTCTAATCCGAGGATCTTTTCCTGGGCGTCGTAAAATTCCTGTTCGCACATCCCTTCCCCGTGGTACCAGTGTATGAAAGCTTTTTTCTCCAACATGAGGTTGAATTTAAAATTCAAAAGAGCCCAAATTTCCCTAATAGCGGTTGAATTGCACATCATGCAAATCGCTTTACGGGACGGAGTAATGTCGGAGTTGGGAAAGGTGCTCGGGCTGCTTCCGTTCAATCCGACTTTGAAGCCGGTCGGCGACCATTCGACGAATTTGACAGTTTTCTTCAGCTTGGCCTGCGCTATAGCAGCGTTGACGTCTTTCGGCGTGATGTCACCCCGGTAGAGTAGACAGCAGGACATGTAGCGGCCGGCGTCCACGGGACATCGCATCAACCTGTGGCTGTCGTCGAAGCAGTTGTTCGTCATCGTCGAAACCGACTGGGTCTCGTGAGCCGAAGCTTTCACGCTTGTTATCGGCGCGTAGCTCATTATCGGAAAATGTATTTTCGGATAGGGGACCAAGTTGGTTTGAAAATCCGAAAAGTCTGTGTTTAACGTCCCTTTGAACCTAAGACTCGCCGTGATCGAACTCACTGTCTGAGCGAGAAGCCTATTTAAATTCCTGTAATTTGGGCTGTCGATGTCCAGGCGTTTCTGACATATGTTGTACATGGCTTCGTTGTCGGCCAAAAACACGCATTGCGTATTATCCAAAGTTGAACTATTTGTAAGAACCGTGTTATAAGGCTCAACAACTGCTGTTGACATCTAAAACAATATAAACGCTATCAGATATTTTTCTCTTCTTTAATCATAAATATTAGAAATGGTTTCAATCATGAACAAATCAGAGATAAATGCTTACATTATCTACAGGGTGTCGCGTACAGTCAATACATCATGAGGTTATCCTTCATGTCAGATATAATTAAAAATTCCCTACAGCTCAATTGTATTCGAGATATTTCAATTTGCAGGTTACTTCAAACTTTCACAACTTTATTCCATTAAGTCTCAGGTATCTGATGAAACGTTAATCCTACTGTAAATTTGATTATATCATGGATAGAGCGATGAAAGCCCAATGAGATTCAGTCGAATTCAGATTTGAATCAAATTTTAATTAAACGTCAATTTTATTATTGCGATCAATGACCTATGATAAATTATATGTGTTCAAAGCTCAAATATAGGATCTACTTTTCTGTAAGCTCTGTGTCCATTATTACTTACAAGACAAACAAAATCTTAATTATAGTACACGATATTTGTAAAGTCGTAAAACTTTATCTTCTAGGTGATTTTGCGTTTTGTTTGCTTAAGAATGAATAAACAAAAAAAAAGGGATTTCAAGGGTTTTTCCTTTGGTGCAGTCAAATTTACAGTACGATTAAAATTTTATGAGAAACCCGGACTTAATCGAATATAGCTGAGAAAAGGGAAAGTAACCTGTAAAGTGAAATATCTTGAATACAAAACACATTTTACACACACAATAAACAGATTTTGAAAAGAAGAAACTTTTAATCCAATTTTATATGTAAGATAACCTCCTGAAGTTTTGACGTCTTTTCATGAGAAACCCTGTATTTATAATTATTAAAATGCTACAAAAATAACGTAATGACGCGCCGTCGATAATTTTATATAATATAAGTAGATGCTTTTAAAAAAAATCTACATTATTACTCGCAAAAATAAACGTTATAATACATTGTGATCGTTATTGGTACTATTATTTCCTTCTGTAATTAAATGTAATTTATCTATTAGGTTTCGTGGTCCGATTGACCTAATAAATTCTTTTCATAATTAAGGCTTTGGTTGAGATAAAAAAAGTCAGTGTTACGAACGGGATTCGAACCCACGACCTTCGGTTAAATACGCCGCTGCTCTACCAGTTGATCTATCGTGACTTCGATCCACCGTCTTTTTTTAACTCAACCAAAGCCTTAATTAAGTGAAAAGAATATATTACATCAATCGGATCACGAAATCTAATAGATTTAATAAGCAAAAGGAAATATATTTCACTAAAGCTCTCCGTGGCCATTTCATTTGTCGCCGAGAATCAAATAGATTACACGACATTTGAAAAATGGCAAAAAGGAGGGAAAATTCAAAAGTTGGGGTTGAGATGGGAAGCTAGTGTCCGAGTGGATCTAAGTCACAACAGCTCAAGTGGTAGAGTAGAGGCGTATTTAACCGAAGGTCGCGGGTTCGAATCCCGCTCGTGACACTGACTTTTTATCTCAACCAAAGCCTTAATTAATTGAAAAGAATATAATTTATGTTTATTTACAACATTATTATGTGCATAATAACTGCCAGTAATTGATATGAAAACGTGGTTTTAATTGTTAATAGCGTCTTATTTCTTGAAAATATATTCTCATATTTATTTATATTTCACAGCGAGGAAAGGAAAATCAAATACGGTTTTGTATTCAACGGTTATAACCAAATCCATTAGGCTGACCATTGAAAATAAATAGGATTTCATTAGGCAATTATTTCAAATTTCTGCTTAGAAAAGTTACTCAACCGAATAAATGAACTGTAAGGTTTTAAAATGCTATTTAGCGATTAATTATCACATAATGGTACTCCTTAGAAAATATTCACTGGAAAAGTTCAGATGGGAATTATCAGATTGTTTAATTGTTAACTATAAAAAAATAAATTTGTTTAAAAAATATTTCACTGGGCAAATATTTTTGGCACAGGGACACACAACACATACACATAAGACCAATAATATAGCATCCAGATTGCATTACACCTCAACCAATGAAGAATAATAAAAAGAACATAGGATCTGAACGTACAATTACAAAACTAGATAAAACGTTGGTAATTAACAAAAATGAACAGAATGCATAATGCGGCGAAAAATGTATTATTTCATAAACACGATAGTAATAAAATTAATGGCATTAATAGTATATTTTTTTATGATGGAGCTACCAGAATATCTCGAACCTTCCCTACCTCTCCACTAAACACAGTAGTGTTTTTCTAGTTTATGACAACCCAACCTTTTATCTCTCCTCACCGACTATTCAAGGTTGCCTTGATTGGAACTTGCAGACCAAAAAATAACTATATAATATTTACTAAAGAAACAAGGACAAATGAATGAATCGTCACTTAGCATTGTGATCTCAATTCTTGAATTCTCAGAACAGCCTCATTCAGGACATCAAAGTTACACCAAAGTATCATTAAAAAAAAATAAAAACAGTAAATCAATATAGAACCTCTCCAACAAAACAATATACAAAAGTTTAGTTCAGTTACTTCTTACTAAAAGATCGAGACAAATACACAGAAAAGAACAAGAAGAGAACAAAAGTGATATTAAGCAATACCAGCTACGACGTAAGTAACCATCGAAAAAAAATCTCCCTGTTTTGACCTCATCAGAACGAACATTTTCCAAATTTTTTCTTACAAAGCTAAATTTTTCCTTACCACCATTTTCACCTGATAAGTCTACTTACGTTCCAATCCAATTGAATTCACCAAAAATAAAACTCATTCTCAAACCTCAAAAAATCAGCATCACCTTAGATCATTATTCTATTAGTTTGCTATTAATAAATGGCTAAATTGATACACTTCTGAAACTATGAAATTTTCAGGTATGCTATTCGGTCAATTCTACCATTGAGCAGTGCCACAGGGTCATCATTCGCGCTTGAGTGTAATTAATGATTTCCTAGCTTTTCATCCAGTGAACAAAACTTGCTCTGAGCACTCGAGCGAATCTTTCGATTCGTTTCTTTCTTCATCTGAAAATTCCATCTTACGATACTTTCAAGCCCGTATCGGAAAAACCGCCCTACATCCAATTTTACGAACCGGGTGTTCCGCAAGGCAGCATACTTGGTTTTATTCTTTATTCCGTTTTCACTGCACACACTCCTGTCAATCCTGATATAGTAGTTTTTACAAATGCAAACCATACCGCTATCTTTTTGACATACCCAGACCATGAAACTTCTAGGACCTTCTGTTCGAAGTATAGTTCGACAAATGGAGGATAAGATTCAATCATCTCATCACCTTCTCACAGATATAGTAAAACTTGGAACCCCTTAACTCGCTTATAAATTTTATATCTGTCGATATAAATTTTCCGAAAGCGTGACCACAGAACAAAACTTGTACCACAAAATCTGTCTCATAAGCACATCACTACTACAACAAATACGTACGGAATTGAACTGATGGATTCAGCCAATCGTTCAAATCAATCCAGACATTCCATTGAAAAATCTTTCGAACCATTGCCCAAGCTCTTCCAATACAACTTTACACAAATTCCAATTTGTCTTCAAAATAGCAAGTTACTACCACACAGCCCTGGACCATCACCTCAACCCCTATGCAACCAACTTTTATCCCTAATCCTTCCAATACTCCAAAACGCCGATGACCTCGATTTCGTTGCTAGTGAAGAAAGTAAATAGTATTGGGTTTGTACTTAATGGATTATTTATTCACTTTTATAATCCATTTAAAACAACAAAGTTGCTTTTAGCGTTCTATCGCTGTTTTAAAATGAAAAATAGGGAGCAAGCGAACCTTACAAAAGAATATTTATTACAATTATTTGCATTACTGTAATAACTTTTGATTAAAGTAATAATTGACTAACAAAACGCCAGAGTTTATATAATATTTTATGGAAAGAATTATATTTTTTTTTTTTGCGTTTTACAAAATGCTGGATGCAATTTACATCGATTTGAATGATGAGCCTAAGAACTTCATTAATTAAAACAATAAATTTATCTTGAATTATTGTTCTGACATAGATTCTAACTATATAAAATGAATAAATGTCAAATTACCATTGGCGAAGGAAAGACGGCGATTTCGATTTTGCTCAGTTTGGGAAATTCGTTACTTAACTCTTGAGATAGAAGACTGTGGAAGCCAGACCCAGTTCCACCTCCGAATGAGTGATACATCATGAATCCTTGAAGCTTATCACTGGATTCAGCCATTTTAATTAACGGGTCTTTAACGCGTTCCAGTATGGATTTTCCCGTCGTGTAATAACCCCTGGCGAAATTGTTTGCCGCGTCTTCATTCCCCGAGACCAAATAACTTGGCGCGTAGAGCTTCTTGTACGGCCCCGTTCTCACTTCGTCTGTAACAATATATTTCAAAGTTTTAATTTCGTATCTTGTTGAGAAATGACACGTGTCAATTTTACCGATAACGGTGGGTTCGAGGTCGACCATGAGCGCTCTGGGCGTGTACGAGCCGTCGGAAGATTCCATGAAGAAGGAGCCGAAGCCGTCCGATGTCATGTCGTCTTTCGGTGGGAAATCGCAAGAGGAATGAGACGACGAGAATCCGGCATTTCCGAAACTTGTCATCGACATTTCTCCACGGCTTCTGTAATGGCCGAGTTCGGATGACATGGGGTATCCGCCGTCCATTTTATCATAGAGACCTCCCGAGGCATCGAGGCCATGTTCGATGCAGTACAATTCCCAACAATTGTTACCGATCTGGACTCCAGCTTGGCCGATATGAACTGAAATTACTTCTCTCTGAAACGAACAACATCCTTACGTTCAAACCATAATGTCAAAACTAATTTTTTATTATGAGGTAAGCATCTTTGTAAGGATTTGTTGGTAATTGGTATACATTTTTCAGGAAACAAACCCCAATTCTGATTGTATATTAAATGAAAACTTATTTGTAAGTATACATCCTTTAAGCATGGCTTGAATCAAACCGGGTCTTTCCAAAAATGAACCATCACCAACAAAATTCCCACATAGTCTCCAGGCGCGATATGACGTTTTTGTGAAACCTCTCCGAACAAGGAAACTCGACAGAAAATTGAAAATCTTACCATTTTTGAAAACTTAGGATTTGGAAATTTAGAAAACTCAAAAAGAAAAGGAGGAACTCAAACCAAATTTGGAATTTTGAATAAAAACGGAAAGTTGAACAAAATTCTTCTTATTTCACTCCATTAAATTTTGATTGTGATTTGTTTCCCAGGTGTTTCAATTCGGCTTGTTTTTTGTAAACACCGAAGCTCATGTGGAGATTACCTATTTGTTCTTCGCTCATGTCTATGTCGTTTTTTAAGCGTTTAGCACGGTAAAACTTCTTGTTTCTTTTTCAAGGACATGTCAGAAATTAACAAAAGAAATGTATTGGTCTGATTTAATTAATGCCTATTTGAGAATAAAAATACGTCGAAACAAAAATCAGCTGTTAAATTCATGGCTGCCATGTTGGCTATCTACGCCCTAACGGATAGCAATGTGACTACATTTTCGACCTAACATCTAACGCCTGTTAGATCGAGCAAAGTTAACTAGCGGATTTTTACAAGTCTACGTTCTAATTTTTCTCGATCTTACAGGACTTAACAGACTTAACAGGGTTAACAAAGATCATGAATACTCCTTATATTTAGTATAAGTTAATAATTTTGTCATATTCTTTGTGTATTGACTACAATACTATTTTTTCAACGTTTTGAGAACGAATCGTCTAAAAATAAAATACTATATATGACATGTGTCGGTCTGGATGAGTTAGTTCAGGCAGCAGAACACCCATTGAAGATTATAAAGATTTAGTGATTTATAGTTAAAGATTTAGTGTTTTAACATGGATCACAGCCATGCTACGGAGGGAAACGGGTCGAGATTTATAGGACCGAATGACTTGAAATTTACTGTAATCGAACGCGAGGGGAGAACTTTTCTTTAAGTAATCGATTCATGCAAAGTTAAAACAACTCTTAAATACTAAAACAAAAACTGGTTTTTTACTAATTAATTATTTAAAAAAAATCATAACCGCCGAAATTATTAAAAACCACATTCTTTTATAAATCTAAGGCCTGTAAAATATTTAATCAATTTCAGTAAAGTATGATGCAAAAAATGAAATTGATAGGAATGCAAATGGTTTAATTTTGTGCAAAAATCCCACCGAAGCAATATTTCGCTGTTTTCCACAAACCGAGAAAACAACTGTGATTTTTTAATTGGAATTTTGTTCAATAATTTCAGAGTTTTTAACACACATTTCGGAATAATGATAATAAGAGTCAGAAAACTGCTTACGCATTTCGTGAAACTTACTATGCATGTTTCTTATTTCCTTAATCATTTCGGAAGACGTTAACAATCCACAAATCTGATAGTGTGATATGGAAACAAAAGCGAAAAATAAATTGAGAATGCATTTGTAAAAATAAACCAGTGAAGATCAACAACAATTCTACTTTTGATGGTATTGATATTCCCCAATAAGAATGATCAAACAAAAGTTTATTTAGCGTGCCAAAAATTAAAGCTGTGTTAGTACAAATTAAACATGAATTTTCGAATGAAATACAGATTATTACTTTATTTTGTTGTGAAATTTTTGAGGTATTAGGTATGTGTAAATTTATCATTTTGATTGATAGTGTCAGTGTTAATATATATTTTTGTTTCATAATAAAAAGACTAATATTGATTTCAGGGCAATTAAATCTTCAGGGCAATTATTTGTCTTAATAATTATTACTTCACTGTCACTTTCTTTTCTAATGCACAGTTTCATATTTTTATTAAACCATAAGTACTTGTAATTTTTATCTTTTTTTATGATTTTTGCATCTTTTGACAGTTTACGGTCAGTATAGGTGAGATTATTGTTTATACAAATTCTCTGCTCTACTTTACAGATTATACCAATTTTAGATGAAGTCAGTATTAGCCGTTCTCTTTTCACTTTATCCATAATTATATCTTTATCAATTTTTCTTAGTAATGAAACTAAAATTATTCCTGGATTGGTCGTATGTGGATTCCCTTTTAACCTGTAACAGTTTTTTATTCGCATTGGGTCAATCTCATCTTCTATATATTTAAATATATTTAAAGTTGTTTCTAACACATTTTCATTTTTTGAAAAAGGCACTCCGTGCAATTCTAGATTATTAATTAATGTATTTTGTTCAATTTCATTGTTTTTTCATCGATATTTGCAATTCTCTTTGTGTTCTGATTAACTAATACCATCATATCACCAATATTATTTAAGATTGATTCGATATGTTTTGAATTTTGTTCAATAATTTCAGAGGTTTTAGCACACATTTCGGAATAATGATTCAAAGAGTCAATAAACTGCTTACGCATTTCGTGAAACTCACTACGCATGTTTCTGATTTCCTTAATAATTTCGGTGAAAACAAGAGAGAGAGATAAAGAGAGAGGGAGAGAGAGAACGCAAGAGAGAGAGAGAGAGAGAGAGGAGAGAGAGAGAGAGAGAGAGAGAGAGAGAGAGAGAGAGACAGACAGACAGACAGACAGAGTGAGTGAGTAGGAAAGGGAGTGAGAAGGTTGAGGGAGAGAGAAAGAGAGAGTGAGAGAGACAAAAGTGAGTAAGAGAGAGAGAGAGAGAGAGGGAGAAAGAGAGAGTGAAAGCGAAAGGGAGAGAGAGAGAGAGTGAGTGAGAGAGACAAAAAGTGAGTAAGAGAGAGAGAGAGAGAGAGAGAGAGAGTGAAAGAGATAGTGTACGCGAAAGGGAGGGAGAGAGAGATGGTGAAACCGACAAAAAGAGAGAAAGAGAGAGAGAAATAGAGAGTGAAAGTGAAAGGGAGAGAAAGAGAGAGAGAGTGATAGAGAGATTGAGAGAGAGAGAGAGAGAGAGAGAGAAAGAGAGAGAGAAAGAGAAAAAGAGAGAGAGAGAGGGAAAACAAAAGGGAGGGAGAGTGAGTAAGAGAGAGTGAGTGAGAGAGAGTGAGAGAAAGTGTGAGAGAGAGTGTGAAAACGAGAGAGAGTGAAAGCGAAAGGGAGGGAGAGTGAGGGAGAGTGAAAACAAAAGAGAGAGATGAACGTGAGAGTAAAAGAGAGATGGAGGGAGAAAGTGAGATAGATAGGAAAACAAATAGAGTGACAGATATATATAGAGAGATTGCAATTTTCCAAAAACCAGTTTTTACTAGAAATACTTTTTATGATTTTGATAGGGTTGAGGATTGCGTGAAAAGTAGGGAGATTCTTCCGAATCCGGCTTAGATACGCATCAGCGGCTACTAAGTACAACAATGATCAATCAAGCATGACAATCAATCCTCTTCAGATGACTTCCATTCTTATTCTATCCGGTAATGGCCTCCTATTTAAGCCATTCGTCGTTTTATTCCTATTCAGTTTAGCGGATGATGGATAATATGTCCCTTTTGTATCTTACAAACTTCACTTTCCCGATGATCTTAATGAGATATCGTTTATTAAATTAATTGTCAGCTTGTTTCATTTCGAGCGTGTTAAAAGAAATAAATTTCAACCCAACGGTCACCTCGGAATTTTTGCGAATGCGTAAAATTAATAATCTTATAATGAATAGAGTAAATTACCCAGTCTTACTCTATTATTGTGTTGTCTTGATATTAAATTAATTTTGAGTAACGCCTTCATTAGTCCGTAGAGCTTTTGCGAGAAAAGCAATTAATTATGGCATATTAATTAGGAAGAGGTGCATCTCGGCTTATCCCTTGCATCAGCTCGGTAAACTACATATTGTTTGGACATTTGAATGTAAATTTAAAAAATATTTTTAGTTTTTACAATAACAGACTAGATTGGGAAATTTAACGATTAACTAAATTTTTTAAAAACATGTATCAGTTTACTTCAACGAAATAGATTTCAAACTTAAACATTGGAAAATTTTCCAAAAAAGAAGCGGGTCGTCTTAATCCGATCAAAAATTAAAGGCATTCTTTAAAAATTTACGGGACGGAGCAATTGTGAAACTTTATTGTTGAACAATGGTGAAACTATTCCCGAACTTAGCCTTAAACTTTAATTTACTTTTTAAACTGTTAATAAAACTCCGAAACGTTCGGCTAGACTACAATAATGGCCGAAGTTATCAAGATAAAGTTTACTTAGAGGGTCAAAATGTGTGCCTTAATATGAAGTTTTGTATTTTTAACAATGTATGCCGGACAAAATTTTGTTAATTTTAGTAATGAGGTTATCATCGAGGGCATAAAAAAATACGAATATATTTTATTAAAACTTAGCATTACCTCCTCTAACATAGGTTTTTTATTAGGAAAGCTAAAGAAACTTCTTTCATAAAGAAAACTAAAACTCTTCGTTCATAGAAACAGACAAAAGTTAACTAATATTACAGCTAATTAACAACAATATTTCATGGTTTATTCACAGGCAGGTTCTGTTTCTGAGTCAGGATCTTGGTTTAGCGAATTGAATTTAATAGTGGGCTATACGTATGAGGTTTTTTTAAATCATGTAAGAAGCGAAACATTACGTGAACAGGTCGAGAACCAATATCAAGCAAGAGACCATATGAGATGGAAGATCTCAAAGAATTACCTGGCTACATGAACATGAATTAGAAGGTTTTCGGGGAAAAAACTAAACTAATACCTCGCGACGTTGTTGTGAACATTTTTTTCAGGTTTCATTTTAGGTTTTTTTTTTTTCGATTTTGAAAAGAAATTCAGTCGGGCCATCTAAAAGGACACCCTGTATAGTGCTGATTTTATTGTGTAAGATAGTGGGTGTTGAGAGTGAACGTATTTATTAGAGTGAATGTGAAATATGAAAGGGCCGATGTGGAGTGACCTATAGACTTTCTATTAGGTTAGTTTTATAATTAAATTAATTAAGGTTTTTAGTTGAGATAAAAAAGTCAGTGTCACGAGCGGGATTCGAACCGACGATCTTCGGCTAGATATTGCTCCACCATCTGAGCTATCGTGACCTCGATCCACTCGGACACTAACTTCCCATCTCAACCCCACCTTTTGAATTTTCCCTTCTTTTTGCCATTTTTCAAATTTGGTGTAATTTGTTTGATTCTCGGCGACAAATGAAATAGTCACGGAGAACTTTAGTGAAGATATACTTCATTTAACTTATTAAATTCGCTAGTTTTCGTGGTCCGCTTGACCAATTAATATCGTTCAATTAATTAAAGTTTTTAGTTCAGATAAAAAAGATCTTTCAATTAATGAAAGTTTTTAGTTGAGAT